ATTTATTTATTTATTTATTTATTTTTGGGACGGAGTTTTGCTCTTGTTACCCAGGCTGGAGTGCAATGGCGCAATCTCGGCTCACCGCAACCTCTGCCTCCTGGGTTCAGGCAATTCTCCTGCCTCAGCCTCCTGAGTAGCTGGGATTACAGGCACGCACCACCATGCCCAGCTAATTTTTTGTAGTTTTAGTAGAGACGGGGTTTCACCGTGTTGACCAGGATGGTCTCGATCTCTTGACCTCGCGATCTACCCGCCTCGGCCTCCCAAAGTGCTGGGATTACAGGCTTGAGGCACCGCGTCCGGCAAAATTTGTTTATTTTTTAACAAAGTTCAGCAGTTTGGGATCCTGAGGCGGGTGGATGGCCTAAGGTCAGAGTTTACTTTGGACCAGCATGGAAGAGCAAATCTCCATGGGCCTTGGAGTAGTGTAGATTTATGATTTGTTATCAATTTCTGCTTCGACACTAGCTTACTGTGTAGGGTAACCTTTAGCTCTGTAAGTCTTAATTCTTTTTCATCTCTAAAATGGGGATGTCACCTAGCTCAAAACATTGTCTCAAGAGTACAGTCTTCAAAACACCTAAAATTTTATATATATCAGTAAATAAAAAGTTTTAAAAGAGGCTAGGCGTGGTGGCTCATGCCTGTAATCCCAGCACTTTGAGAAGCTGAGGCAGGAGAATTGCTTGAGGCCAGGAGTTCAAGACCAGCCTGGGCAACATAGCAAGACCCTGGCCCTACAAAAATTTTTTTTTTTTAAACGAACAAGCCAGTAAAAAACTGGCAAAATATATGAACGCGCTAGTTACAGAAGAAGAAAAAAGCCTTTTATAGAGTCAAACATGAGAAAGGACGTCTAGCCTCACTGATGATCAAAGAAATGCAAATCAAAGCAACAATGTGATATAATTTTTCAGATATCAGATTGGCAGAGATTAAAAAGATTCATAATACCTATGTTGGCAAGGGTTTAGGGAAGCAGGCAGTCTCATACGCTGGGGCGTGAGTGTACATTGACTTTGTACATGTGTGGGGTAGTTTAGCCCTGCTTGTTAAAACTGTAAATGTTCATAATCTTTATTCCAGAAGTTGCTTTCTTAGAAACTTAATTTTTCTTTTTAAATTTATTTTTCTTTTTAAAAATTTATTAACAAAGTTCAGCTTTCTGATTCAGGCAACTTATTTTTTATATATACCTGTACAAACGGGCAAAAACGTATGTATTATTGTAATGCCATATCAAAGTGGCAACAACTCCAATGTCCACTAGTAGAGAATTTGTTATGATACAGACATGAAATGAAATACTATGCAGAAAATGAAAGGAATGAGGAAGCACTCTTTTTATGTGAATAGGTGTTCACAGGCCAGGTGCAGTGGCTCAGACCTGTAATCCTAGCACTTTGGGAGGCCGAGGCAGGTGGATTGCTTGCGGTCAGGGGTTCGAGACCAGACTGGGCAACCCTGTCTCTACGCAAAATACAAAAATTAATGGGGCGTGGTGGTGGGTGCCTGTAGTCCAGCTACTCAGGAGGCTGAGGCGGGAGGATTGCTTGAACTTGGAAGGTGGAGGTTGCAGTGAGCCGAGATAGCACCACTGCACTCCAGCCTGGGCAACAGGGTGAGACTCTGTCTCAGAAACAAAAAACAAAGCAAAGCAAACAAAACTTCATAGAGGCTAGGACCAGGAGCACTAAACACTCATTAGCAACATGACAAGTGAGTTCTCTTTTCAGATCTGTTAGGACAGAAGCAAGTACGGGTGCCATAATTCACTGATTCATTCAACAGACATTGCTGAGTAGCTGCTGTGAGTCAGGCACTGCGGTAGGTGCTGGATTTATGTAAACAGATAACTACTCACAACATTATAGGGGATGCTGTGATAGGAGACAGCAACTTCCATGTGTCGTGGTAAGGATAAAAGAGGAATCATTGGCAGCATTGAAATAGGAGCTCCGAAAGGGCAGGGACTTTTTTTTTCTCCATAACATTTTGGAACAGTGCTTGGCACATAGTAGTTGTTTGATGTATGAAATTTGCTAAATGAACGAATGAATGAATCTGTGGAGTCAGGGTTCCCAACAGAAGATGCATTTGCGTTAGGATAATTTGAGGAGGGGCCCCTTATAGGGAGATAGAGTTATGTGTGCACTGTAGGAGAATCACAGTGACCAGGCAGGATCCCAGGCTGGTGGAGAGACATTGTCACAACCCCTAGGCTGGCAGGGAGGAGAGGACTGAGGTCGCTGGAATGGGAGGGGACCAGACTCTCCCTCCCTCTGATCTCCTGCCAAATCTACATAGGAGTCACAGGACAGAGAACCCAAAACAGTCCACCCAGGTTGCCTAGAGCATACCTCAAGATGTCTTTCGCAGACTCCTGATACCTTACAATGGTATTGGGCACCAAACTCCATGAAGAACCCTGTGAGATAAAGAGTATCATCCCCATTTTACAGCTGAAAACAGTAAAAAATTGAAAACATTTTATAGACGAAACAGATGAGCTAGGTAACCTATCCAAGGTAATGGCCAGTAAGATGCTATTAACTACTGTGCTAAGAAATGCCATCATACTGTCCAGGATGGGCCACAGTGATGGTAAAGAGAGCAGTGTGTCCTGGTGGCTGAGAGCCCCGCTTTTGGAGTCCACATACAGACTGGATTGTTGGGAGGGGTGGGGCAAATTACTTCTCTGGGCCTCAGTTTCTCCATCTGTACAAAGAGATAATATCCAACTTTTGGGAATTTTTGTGAGGATTAAATGAGACAATGATTATAGAATGTTCGATACTTCATCGACTCCATTAAATAAGTGATATGAAAAGAAGACCTTAACTCTGGCTGGCTGGGTGCAGTGGCTCATGCCTGTAATCCCAGCACTTTGGGAGGCTGAGGCCTGAGGATCACTTCAGCCCAAGAGTTCAAGACCAGCCTGGGCAATATAGTGAGACCTCATCTCTACCAAAAAATTTAAAAATGAAATGGAGGATCACTTGAGTCCAGGAGGTTGAAGCTGCAATGAGCCATGATCATACCACTGTATTCCCATCCTACCTGGGTGACAGAGTGAGATCCTGCTTCAAAAAAAAAAATAAATAAATAAAAAAATAAAGAAAGACCTGGCCAGACGCGGTGGCTCACTCCTGTAATCCCAGAACTTTGGGAGGCCAAGGTGGGCGGATCACGAGGTCAGGAGATTGAGACCACCCTGGCTAACACAGTGAAACCTCATCTCTACTAAAAATACAAAAAATTAGCTGGGCATGGTGGCATGCACCTGTAGTCCTAGCTGCTCAGGAGGCTGAGGGAGGAGAATCCCTTGAACCCAGGAGTCGGAGGTTGCAGTGAGCTGAGACTGCACCACTGTACTCCAGTCTGGAGACAGAGAGGGAGACTCTTCTGTCTCAAAAAAATAAAATAAAATAAAATAAAATAAAATAAAATAAACTTTAACTCACACAAACCACGCAAGTGTTAAACCTTCGGAAATATGCCAGGATGCAAAGTGTTTCCTCTTGGGTTGGGGAGTATGGTTGTTCAATTTTTGTTCACTACTTGTATTTTTCCATTTTTGACCAGGACCACATGGCTTTGGAAGTCAGGAAGGCCAGGTGCTACCTCTGTCCCTCCCTCCTTTGCTTTTATCAGGGCCTCCTGTGTCCTTGCCTCTGCTTTCTCTGTTGGCCCCAGGCCTCCGGGCTCCGGTCTGAGCGGCCAGTGTGTGCAGCAGTGGTAGACCTTGTATTCCATGTAGGATTCAGTGACTTGAGGCCGTCCTTCCCGCAAACACCACCTCCCTCCTGAGGGTGGGGAGAATGTGGAGAGAGAGCCTGAGGCAACGCTTTGGATCCTGGTAACTTTCAGACTTTGATCCTAGTTTGACTTGTTTTCCAACTGGAGTTCTAATTGCCCAGCCTCCTGGAGCAGACTCTCCTTGCTATGAGATGATAGGTTATTAATATAATATTAATAATCATCCTGTAAAATGAGTATCATCCACATTTTATAGGTAAGAGAACTGAGGCTCAAAGAAATTACATCAATTTGGCTAAAATTGGCAGGGTGCAGTGGCTCACACCTAATCCTAGCACTTTGGGAGGCCGAGGCAGATGGATCACTTGAGGTCAGGAGTTCGAGACCAGCTTGGTTAACATGGCGAAATCCTGTCTCCACTAAAAATATAAAAATTAGCCAGGCATGGTGGTGCATGTCTGTAATCCCAGATATTTGGGAGGCTGAGGAAGGAGAATCACTTGAATCCAGGAGACAGAGGTTGCAGTGACTCGAAATTGCGCCACTACCCTCTAGCCTGGGTTACAGAGCAAGACACTGTCTCCAAAAAAAAAAAAAAAAAAAAGGCTAAAATTCTACATTTGGTAATTGGCAGAGTTGTGGCCAATTTGAGCCCTTTTACTTCAAAGGCTGTACTTTTTGAAGCCTTCAGTGTGTTTTTCAGAGAAAAAAGTTTTAATTTTCTAATTATGTAAACAATGCCAGGTTACAATTGGAAAACACGTAAGGCAGGAGAAACATGTCCATGAAGCTGGAGCCAGTGCCCATGCTTCCTGTAGGATTGTGTACTTTGGTGTTTTCCAACATTATAGTACACGCCCTGTTCCATAGTATGAGTTCTGTGGAGCTTTATATTCAATGGTTGCCTAACCATCCCTCAGCGGATACACCATCATTTAAACAATTCCCTATTGTCAAACCTTCCAGCTGCCTCTAGTTCTTTATTGTCAGCAATGTGCTGCGAAGAACATGGTTTTATTCAGAAAGCTTTTTCTGTTTGTCGTCCCATTTCCTTAAGATAGTTTCCCAGAAGTGGAATTACTGGTTCAAAGGCTATTAGCATTTTAACCCTCTTCCTACATCTTGCCAAAGTATTCCCCTGAAGGGGGTCACCGTCTACTTTTCCTGCCAGCAGCTTGTGACAGTATTTTGAGGACAGCTTCCTATTCTAACTGGTTCTTTTTCTTCTCTCTGCAAAGCCTCATAAGAAGAATGGCTCAGAGCGTGGTGGAAGTCATGGAGGACTCGAAGGGGAAGGCACAGGAACACCTCCTGGCAAATGGAGGTAGGTGGGGTGGCCCTCTGATGTGGAGTGCGATCTCCTGGCTCTGTCCAAGACAGAGTCGCCTTGGTTGTGGCCACACAGTAATCACTGAGTTGACCCAGGCCTCAGTGGATGCTCTGGGTTGACACATTGGGCAGAGCTCTGTACTCACTTTTTTTTTGAGACAGAGTCTCACTCTGTCCCCCAGGCTGGAGTGCGGTGGCGCAATCTCGGCTCACTGCACCCTCTGCCTCCTGGGTTCAAGCCATTCTCCTGCCTCAGCCTCTTGAGTAGCTGGGACTGCAGCCACACACTGTCCTGCCTGGCTAATTTTTGTATTTTAGTGGAGACAGGGTCTCACCGTGTTTCCCAGGCTGGTCTCAAACTCCTGAGCTCAGGCAACCCGTCTGCCTTAGCCTCTCAAAGTGCTGGGATTACAGGCGTGAGCCACTGAACCCGGCCAATTATTATTATTTTCTGAGACATGGTCTTGCCCAGGCTGGAGTGCAGCGATGTGATCATAGCTCACTGCACCCTCAACCTCCCAGGCTCAAGTGGTCCTCCCACCTCAGACTCTCACTCACCACCACTCCTGGCTAATATTTTTTATTTTTTGTAGAGACAGCATCTCACTATGTTGCCCAGGCTGGTCTTGAACTCCTGGGCTCAAGGGATCCTCCTGCCTTGGCCTCCCAATGTGCTGGGATTCCAGGTGTGAGCCACTGTTCCTGGCTGGTGCACCACTTTAGCTCATCTGCACAGCTAGGTTTGGGAGCTGCGCCCCTTCATCAGTTACTGGCTCTGCAGTCCTGCCTCTACTCTAGCCCGCTGCTGAACTCCTCAGTGCGTTGGAGATGAACATGGGGTCCAGGGAGCTCAGCGGGGCTCCTACTGTTTGCCCTCCGCCCTCTCCAGAGTCACCGCTCTCCCCATCTGGGTAGTTCTGCCCTCCTCTCCTCACCCCCTCTGATTTACCCCTTTCCCCCAAAGAGGTGTGAAAAATGCCTTCGTGTGCTGAGGAAGGCCTCCAGCCAGTCTTCAGCTGCCATCAGGTCAATAAGAACAGAGGCCGTACCCTGAAGGCTCCCTGCATGGCGTCACGCTGAGAATGTGGGCCTCCCGTGAGCTGATAGGACCAGCCTTTAGATTCCAATGATGTTTTGGCCCATTAACTGTGTGCGTACTATTTCAGTGCATTTAAAATGTGCAAGACGAACCTTTGAGACTTTGGAAACTTTAGAATGAAATGTTGCCTGGGTGAGATGGCTCCAGCACTTTGGGAGGCCAAGATAGCAGATCACAAGGTCAGGAGATTGAGACCATCCTGGCCAACATGGTGAAACTTCGTCTCTATTAAAAATACAAAAATTAACTGGGTGTGGTGGTGCATGCCTGTAGTCCCAGTTACTCAGGACGCTGAGGCAGGAGAATTGCTTGAACCAGGGAGTCGGAAGTTGCAGTGAGCCAAGATCATGCCATTGCACTCCAGCCTGGTGACAGCGTGAGATACCATCTCAAAAAAAGAAAAGAAAAGGGAATGAAATGTTTGAATATCTGTAGAGATAATTACACTTACGTGATTCTATGCATATATATATTGAAAATAAGAATATAATACTGGGCCAGTGTGGTGGCTCACGCCTGTAATCCCAGCACTTTGGGGAGCTGAGGGGGATGGATCGCCTGAGGTTAGAAGTTCAAGACCAGCCTGGCCAACATGGTGAAACCCTATCTCTACTAAAAATACAAAAAAAAATTAGCTGGGTGTAGTGGTGCACACCTGTAATTTCAGTTACTTGGGAGGCTGAGGCAGGAGAATTGCTTGAACTCAGGAGGCAGAGGTGGCAGTGAGCCAAGATTGCACCATTGTACTCCAGCCTTGGTGACAGAGTGACACTCTGTCTCAAACGAACAAAAAACAACAATAGATAATACTGTATTTTGACTGTAACTTTTCCATGTTTAGAAATATTTAGGTATGCAAATACTGACCGTGTGTCAGTGCCGCAGGGTCCAGCACAGTCACGTGCTCTGCAGGTGTGCCGCCCAGGAGCAGTAGCTTCTGCCAGATAGCCTCGGTGTGTAGGAGGCTAGAGCACCTAGGTTTTTGTAAGTGCCCTCTGTGATGTTCACACAATGACAAAAATCACCTCATGACACATTTCTTAGAATGTGTCCCTGTCATGAAGCAATCCATGACCGTATATACTACATATTTATCATAACATTTATATCATTTGTTATAAATATAACATATATTCATATTTTTCCCTCCTGAAAACATGAGGAGACTTTTTTTTTTTCAAGATGGGGTTTCACTCTTGTTGCCCAGGCTGGAGTGCAATGGGGCGATCTCAGTTCACTGCAACCTCCGTCTCCTGGGTTCAAGAGATTCTCCTGCCTCAGCTTCCCAAGTAGCTGGAATTACAGGCATCCAGCACCACGCCCAGCTAATTTTTTGTATTTTTAGTAGAGACAGGGTTTCACCATGTTGTTCAGGCTGTTCTCAAACCCCTGACCTCAGGGGATCCACCCATCTCAGCCTCCTTGGGTGCTGGGATTACAGGTGTGAGCCACTGCAGCCGGCCGAGGAGGCTTTTTATTTGGTTAAGTTGACAAATGAAAATGTTCCTACCCTCTTGGCTTTGTGTGTCTATGTGGTTTAATAACTCCACCTTATTATATTGCAGGCCTGAAAGAAAAGATGAAATGTTTAAAGAGTAGGTTATGCATTGTTTGCTGTGTCTGTGCTTGGTGTGACGCCCGCATGTCCCGGGGAGGTGGAATCTCGGTCTGGCTGTAGGGGTACAGCGATCAGGTTACGACGATTTCTCAAGTAACAACCTCGTAACTTGGTCATGATATCCACATGACACAGAGAGCCACTGTCTCATCCCCTCCCCTCTGTCCTGCTATCCCGGCCCCTCCTGAGCAGGCTGCATGCCACCTGGAAGCTGGGAACGCTTTGACCTTGCGAAGGTCAAGGTGAGCTCCCATCTCTTTCTGTGTGTGGTCTGCTTCTTGCTTCGATGTTGATTCGGTGTCCCGACTGTCTGCTCTTTGAGGCTGTCTGCTTTATGGACACTGGAAGCTTACACTCCAGGCTTCGCTTTGTGTGGCCTTGATTGGGGCTCAGACACACAAGGAAACTCCCGGGGTGGTCCTGGTGCTCAAACAGGTCTTTCCTTGTGTGAATGTTAGAGGGAGCCATTTGCTTTGGATTTTCTCCAGCCCACTCAAACTGGTGGAATTAAAAATAGCAAATCATGAGGCCGGGCGTGGTGGCTCACACCTGTAATCTCAGCACTGTGGGAGGCCAAGGCGGGCGGATCACCTGAGGTCAGGAGTTTGAGACCAGCCTGGCCAACATGGTGAAACGCCGCCTCTTAAGAAAAAAAAAAAAAGAAAAATAGCAAATCATTTTAGGTTAAATAAAAACCTTTAGAGATTGGCAGTTACCAAATGCCTTCCCAAATGCAGTCTGTCTGTCACACTGAGATTTTTTGCTGATGCTAAGAAAAAATCTCCTTGTCAAGTTAACCAAATGGGTCTGATTTTCCAGGAGGCCATTTCTAGGGCCAGGACTGAAAGGCTGACTTCAGGTAGAGAGCTACTTTTCTACATGAACAACAGAGGAACTTAAGCTTACATGAAAATAGTGATCGAAATGCTTATATTTTATGCAAAATTAATGTACCGTAAGTTAGATGTAATTGCTATGCAGTATCCATCCCCAGTCCTGATGGCGCTAGCAGTGGCCTCTCTTCTCAGGAAGAGAAAATTCAGCTTGGTTTGTTGAATGGGCTTTATGACCTCTGCGCATCCTGTGAGTTGGGTCTCAGCTTCCCAAGACTAGAGCTGGTAAAGCACATTCTGAAGCCTGGAGGCTGTAGGGAGGCTGAGGTGGGAGGATTACCTGGGGCCAGGAGTTCGAGGCCGTAGTGCACTGTGGTCGTGCCTGTGAATAGGCACTACACTCCAGCCTGGACAACATAGCAAGATCTTGTCTCTTAAAAAAAAATAATAAAGGCCAGGCATGGTGGCTCACACCTGTAATCCCAACACTTCGGGAGGCCGAGGCGGGCAGATCATAAGGTCAGGAGTTCGAGACCAGCCTGGCTAATGTGGTGAAGCCCCATCTCTACTAAAAACACAAAATTAGCGAGGCATGGTGATGCACACTTGTCATCCCCAACTACTCAGGAGGCTGAGGCGGAAGAATCACTTAAACTCAGGAGGCAGAGCTTGCAGTGAGCCAAGATGACACCACTACACTCCAGCCTGGGCAACAAGAAACAAGGGCGAAACTCCATCTCAAAAATAAGACAAAACAAAACAAAACAACAATACAGCATGGACTCTAAACCAGGCCAGGGAGACCTTTTAAACTGCGTTTGACTTGGGCTTTCCCAGTATTACCTGAATGAGGAAATCTTTCTCCTCTGCAGGGTACCCGTATGAGCGAGAGGCACGCACTCTTGCATTTTAATCCTGTCTCCTCCAGGGGTGTTTAGGGCACCACTGCCAGCAGCCGGTCAGACCTGGTCCACAAGTCACTTCTGGGTTTTCCTTTCTCACCTGTAGATGGACTGAACGGCTTCACAGGCTCTTGGCTTCGCCTGGGCACCTGTTGTTTCTGCTTGTCCCTTGCCTCTAGCTGAGTTGGGAGCAGGGAAGGACACAGACAGCTTCAATAGCAGCCAGGCTGGTAAACACACCTTGCCTGGCCTGGGCCCTGGAATGCCCACAGAAGACAGAAACCCTTGAGGCTTGTCTGGCTTGCTAGGTGATGGGCGGTAACCAGGGTGGTCACAGTCCCTCATACTGTTGCCTGCAGTATGGGCAGGCCTCATTTTTGTTCTCAGACAAGATCATTATTGCTCAAGAGCTGTCAGCCTGTGCGCAGCATATTTTGATGTGGAGTGAGCCTACCTGGGTCATGGTCTGACCTCACGGGCCCTCAGCCCAGGTCCCCATCACCCCCTCTGAGGTCCAGGCTTGAGTGACTGCAGCCCAGGCAG